TGAAATATTCAGTTTATTATCTAGTTTTTGAGATTATTGTGCATATTAGTCGCAAAAATTAATATGATATTCCTATATAATATTAGCAGAAGGAGTGGCCCTTGACAGTGATTTATTACTCTCTTCTAATACCAAATAAAGTTTACTGGTTATAATCATATTCTTTTGTAGTTAATTTTAGTACGATTAACACAAAACTATGTAGGTCAGTAGTCATTACTCTAAATACTTTTTACGAATTGGCAAGGAAACGACCTAAAATTAATATTCGGTTTAACTGCGTTAATATTAACCCACAAGGTGGGCGTAAAACGTATCAGAAAGTATCCTAAAGAAAAGCATAAGTCTATAAACTCAATGTGATATTTTAAAACATTTATCATTATTAAGTAAGCCTCTAAATATTTTCCATTATAAAAACATTTAAACGTCCAAATTTACACTACATTAAAAAAAATATTTAGGTAGTCAATATTCATCATCATTATTCAGTCCAGTTCCTCTACTGGCTAACATAAGTCCCCTGCTTTTAAAACAATTTGATCTACGTCTCTCTTATCAAGTCATCCCACACTTCTCTTGAGATTTTCCATACTTCTAACCACGTGTCTGGCTCACTCCATTTTGTCTCGAAATCCTCTTATATGTCTACTCTTAATTCACAATTCCACATATGAAGCCTTTGTTAGATGAGGGTTTCTGCCTCCCATGGTTACTGGCATTGGTCATTTTTCTCTTCAGACATAGAGAAGTTAACTTTTAAAGTTTTTCTCGGTTTAATTCGCGTGGTATAAATTATCTCTTCTATCTTGAATTACATACCCGAGATATTTATATACAGTACATTAATCGGTTATATTTATTTTTGATTGGTATTTAATTCGTCATTATTTTTTGTATTCCTCTATTGATATTTAAACAACGATCTATGGCTGCCTCCTGAACCATCTCTCTTGCCATTTTAGTATCTTCAGCTTTTATGACTCTATTATCAGCGAAACATAAGTTGTTTAATTGGTTTATAATATCTATGTCTATTTTGATTTTCTTTGTATTCCAGTCTTGGTTTTCACACATCATGATTAATAGTCTACGTGACATTGGCGCCGGTCTGACTCACTTCTATTTTTTAGGTTATTGTATATTTGAAAGCCCTCTATATTTCACCGACTTTTCTATAATAAGGTTTTCATGCTTTGAAAGTGGTTGCTTGCTTCGTAACCTTTTTCTTGAATTCCTGGTTGCTCTTTGGGTTGATAAATTTCCAATTTTCAATTGTAGTTACTGTTATTCGGTAAACAACTGGGAATCATGGCATAGAAAACACTTCCGTATAATCTCGCTAAAAAATTTTAATGTCAAATAATTGACAGCTTATCGCAATGTTATAAAGTTTCGTCTTCATCTTTAAGTTTCATCTTCTATCGAAGATTAGAAATCATTATGCCTATGTAGATCTTGTCGACCTCCGTTCTAAATAGTTCTCCACTGCTGCATTCGAACCTAATTTCAGGTTTTTAATATCTTTGCCTTCTTTCATGCCATATTAAAGAGTTGAGAACACCGAGACATGTTAGGACATATAAGATATACTGACAACATATAAATTTCCTAACGTTTGGCTCGTCCTGAGTGTACGTTTTGAGTTTCTGAGTGACGCCCAGGCCTCACTCAGGGCGTTTCTTACTCTGTTTCGCAGTGTAAGGCCAAGCATTGAACGTTTAAATTTGTCTTTTGGGTTATTTTCTGGATAGTTCTTGGTAAGATTAAGAGTTTCGATTTTGTATGTAAGGAGTGACAAGACCCACTAGTTAAACGCCCTGTTTTTTTTGCCCGATCTTGATGTTGTCATTGGGTCATCATTTTGTTTTTTACTTTTATTAATTTTCAATTCCACTTTTTCTATTGCTGCGATAAGTTCTTCTACTACTTCAATACATATTTAATTTTTTGGTTTGATCCACTTGATGTATCTACTGTCCAAAGTATCTGTAGGTATCTACTCTCTCAATGAAATACGCCTAGAAAGAGTCAACATCACATATTTGGACACCAGTGATAATGACAACTGGAATATGATCAAGCATATTGAAAAAGCCATAGACGCCTTTTATAAGCTAACGAGAATTCTCTCAAATACATATTTTCTTTTTCTTCTCCTAGCAATACATCCCGGGATGGGTCTTGGCTGACTGTACAAATTGCTTCCGTCTCACACGGTCTTCCGTCATAGTTGATTCAGTGGGTAGCCATATTTTTCTTAAATCTAACCATATATTATCTCTCCACTGTATTCTTAAGGACCTTCTCCCTATCTGGGAGATTAACTGCCAGATTAACTTAGCTAGATTATTAGGGAGCCTATGGACATGGTCTGTTTGATCTTAGCATTTGTTCTCATTCAGTATAGTAAGTATTCGGGTCGTGATTGGGTCCAAAGATCCCTCTGAGAATTTTTCTTTCAAAACATAAAGGTTTTATTTCTATTGCTTTTGTCAACGTTCACGTCTCACAGCCACATAAGCACCGGTGTTTTATATATTCCGATTTTTAGGGTTCGTGTTTAGGTTCTTGGATTTAATAGTGTTGTGGAGCTGATTATAAACATCAGCGTATTGCTTAAATTCTGCCTTTTAACCCTTCTGTGATATCTGCGATGACTGTCTCTCCGAGATATTTCTTTCTTTTCTACACCCTTTCAAAGAAATATGGGCTTATTGTTACATTTTGCCCTATTCTATCTCCCTCCTAATAATAATCAGTTATGTTAGTCTTTTTAAATAAATATGTTAAATTAAAGCTAAAAATCAGATTAATCCGCTGCTACATTTTCAATCTCCGTACTGTAGAAGGTAGCACTGCTCTACGATCTCGGTAGAGGACAGGCTGTTATAGGGAGTGGCATTCTTGACGTACGCTATCTACTGATTTTCTCCTATGTGCAAGCCTTCAGGAGAGGCCAGATCCTCAGCCTATCTTTCCCCTCATTTTTCAATTCTTACAACATCTCGCTATATCCTGCTACGAACATGGGCAGGCCAGCGTGGTAGTGAAATGGGTAATCTTGAAATGATCCCTGGTGACGGTAGCCACCAGATCACATAAGGGCAGAAGGTGCAAAGAATCACCGGGACAGACACGGCTACCATGGACAACGCCATATGGCCACTTATAATGTAAGAACGTTTCCAACTCAAAGAGTTTATTGAATTACAAGAAGAACTCTATACCTATTTAAAATGGGATGTATTGGGATTTCTGAAATACAAAGAAAATGAGAAAACCAATTAGTTTTAAAATTTGGATATTTGCTGCATAAATCTGAACGAGAAAGGCGCTATTAAAATTATTCATGTGTATGCACCCACAATAAGCCATACCGATGAAGAAAATCCAAAACTTTTATGAATATATACGTAGAGTTAAGGAAAAAGATCAAACCCACCACCTAATCTTAATGAGGGATTTTAACGCTAAACTTAGATTTAAAAAAGGTAATGCAGAAGTCGCCATGGGCTCATTTAGGTACGGTAAGCAAAACGATAGAGCATCATAGGATCTACGTCATGAACAATTTTTTTTTTAAATAAGCAACAACATAAGTGGACGTGAGCTAGTCCAGATAGTATAACGAAAAACGAAATTGATTTTATAATCACAAACAGAAAAAATATTTTCCAAGATGTTATAGTAATTAATAAAATCACCGTTGGGAGTGACCATCGGTTGGTTAGAGCAAAAATATTGATCAACATTAGAAGAGAGAGGAGAACAATGATATAGTTAAAAAATAGCCATGGCTAAATGGGCTTGGGCGAGATATGTTGCCAGATTGACGAATCATAGATGGACCAGAAAGATTATAACGGTAGGACGATCGCCGACTAGATGGATGGGTAATATTATAAAGCGAATCATCGCAAATTGGACGCAAGAAGCTTAAGATAGAAATAGGTGGAAAATTTTCGGTATTATTGTCTCTTACAGAGACAATAATACCAAAATGTGCCTAAGAATATTACGGATAAACTGAATAAATCGAATAAGAAGTGAAGTAGTTTTATACAGGATAAAAAAGCAGAAATAATTAAAACAATAAGGATACGAAAGCTGAAATATTGCATGGTTATATGAAGAGACATCAAGATAAGTATAACCGTGTAGGCTGAAAAAGAACATTCTCGCTTCGATTTCTTCGAGAGCGATACATAACCATAAGACATAAGTAGATTAATTTTGAGCTGTCACCATTAAAATTGTTGTGAACAAATTTTCGACATTTCGAAAATAGAAAAAGAAAGAACTAATTCGAAGAACTAAGAAGAAATTACAATATTTTCAATCACCAGTTACATGTTTGCAACTACTGATTTAGTGATAACCTTGCACATAGTACCCTTCAAATTGATCTTAAGGACATATTCATGGCAGCGTGTATTGAGGCGTTGCATTACGTTCTGGAGTAATGCAACTGAAACAAAACAAAATATATGACCATGGAAGCAATACAATTCAAAAAGGAATATACTATGTGATGACTGATGATTTACAAGAAACAAATAAAATACAACGAAACGGAAAGTTAGAGAGATGGGAGAAGCAAGTACTCAGAAATAACTATAATAGAAAGGAGGTAAGATGCAGTGGTAAAAAGGAAACACGAAGTAGGTATCTAATATTAATTAATGAATTAGTCAAGCTGGACTATACCTTAGGTAAGCTGATAGATGCAAAAGAAGATACAGCTTAAGTTGTCGGGCATTGACAAAGAAATATTTAACTTCTTAGAACTAGAAGACAGTACAGAACGGTATCTAATTAATGAATTAATTATGAATAATACATAATTGTATTTGTCTTCTAGAACTTGTAACATATATTTTATAAATAAAAAATAAACAGTATGACACATCACACGAGGTATACATATATATTCTGCTGGTATATTTTTTGGACTAGTTATGTAAATGTCTAAAAATTAAATATTAAATTACTCTTACTTGTTATCGAGGACCAAAAGGACATCTTGGATAAATAACGAAACGCACAAAATGAACTAAAACCACTAAAAAAATCACTGATGTTTCATCGACTGTATGGTGTAGGCTCCAAATAGAAAAATACCGATTTCGCTGCGTTAGAAACTAAATGCTTTAGCCTATTAACTTTTAACTCTGCGATGCGTAGGACTCGCACTGACTCCACTATATTCTTGGACTTGAATAGATCTTGAAATTTGTAAAACTGAAACTATTTGCCGCCGCGGCCGCTGCCGCTATTACCGCCTTGACATTGAAAGCTATTTCAGAGAGATGAAGCGCAGATCACGCTTAATTTTTTTATTTATTATGGAAATGATTTTGTTAGTAGTTAGACACGCCCCATGGCTTTTAGAATGATAGTGCCAATTATTATAAGAGGTGATTAATACATATGATATTTGAATATAAAAAAGTTATTTAAACAGGAAAAAAATAAAAAATAAATATGATTTTTCATTTAATAAAATAAATTTTTTTATATAATGGAAGAGCTTTATCTAAATGTAGATATGAAGGTTTTTGCTTTGCCAAGTTCTATCAAACGTTGGGAATCGTTATAGCTATGCAGATATTTGGTGCATATACTTCATTTAAACCAATTACTCAGATTCTTAAATCAGGATATTCTAAATATTCCTACATTTCGCTTCCCTCGAATTTTGCCTTGCATAATTAGTTGTAATAATGAATATTTTTGCTCTCTCAGTCTAGGTGCTAGGCGACATACTGTATCACTCATACATAACAGACTACAATTTTCAGGATAGTTTCATAAACCCTCGACCCCCAAATATCTCTTGGGATACTTTCTGTACCGGTTGCTTTTTCTGTCCAGTTTATCCAAAAGTGGTCATTTTGAAGTGATGTATAGAATTGATTAATAACGTATTGCTGTCTAATGAATACAAAAGTCGACTTCGTGAAATATCCGAAAAATATCTTGTCCGACAAAAATTTTGGTTTCATAAGGGAGTCCACCAAATTAAACATGCCAAAAAAAAACAACTTAAAAAAATTTAGATTTAATTTCTTTTACACTTGCCTTATTATAAATATAGGCGTCAGTGCGTGATCTTCTCAACCTTAAAAACTTGTTCTTCTGCTATAGTTTATTTTTATGAACGAGAGAGTAATTAGCATAATTTTAAGTGGTACCTTCGACCACTCCATGGGCGTGCTCAAGATTAATTGAAAAATTACTTTGAATAATTGTAAAAAATAAATGAATTATTTCAGTGTTATAAAGTGTTATGTGTATGTAAACAAAAGTGACCTCTTTTAATACACACTATATTAGAACTGACTGGCCTACATTAAAAAGGGTTTTAAAAAATTACATTTTTTTAATTTTTAAAAATTACAAAGAGGAAAAGAGTTTTTAAAACCGTCTAAGGTATGTTAAATAGACGAATAAAAGTATTAATATAAAACTTACAGCTACTTGTTACAAATTAAAATCAGATTCAGAAGATGAACTTTCAGAACCAAGATTTATAATAACTGGCTCGATCATTGTATCAGTAATATTGTCCAGCTTCCACATTTTTTCCTCTTCTTTAATAGTGTGATTTACTGCCTTTTCCCAGTTTTCAGGTTTTACATTATTTACGGCCTCCAAAAACAACTGTTTAAACATCATGAATTTTAAAAGTGGTATTTTTTCTTGAAACTTCACTCTTTATCTGTGCCCATACCAGTTCAATCGGGTTTAATTCACAATGATATGGTGGGGATCTAAGTACTGTCATTTCACGATTTTTGGCAATTTCATCAATTTCGTATTTTTAAAATTTTTCTTTATGAAGGGCACACAACGAATAAAGTTTCCTTTCTTACTTATAGATCCGGGATGGTACGTAATATTTTTTGAACTCAGCCAATTCTGCAAGTCTTTTTTTAACAACTTGGTTGTGGGCAGTCCTTCTATAAGTCTGGAGTGATAACTTGCATTATCCATTACTATTACACAGTTCTTAGGAAGAAGATCTATCATTTGTTCGAACCATTCTTGAAAGACATCAGCGTTCATGTCTTCATGGTAGTCACCGGTACGAGTTGATTCAAAAGTTAATAAACCACCTTCAACCAAACCGTCTGAACTGCCAATGTGTACTATTATCAGCCTACGTCCCTTTCTGATGGTGGGTTTAACCAGTAGATAAGTTATTTACAAAAGCGTGCCTTTGACTTGTAACAGTTTCATCCTGCCAAAATTTATTTGGTGTATGACCCTCGTTGATCCATGTTTCATCAAGATAAAATATTTTTCTTTTTTGGTTTCTCATTTCCTTTATGGTTCTTAGAAAATGTCTTCTCCATATGACAATATCGCTTCTTTCTAATAAAATAGACTTTTTGGATTCTTTTTCCAGCGGAAGCCTATTTCTTTTAAAAGTTTCCATAACGTACTTCGACTCATTTCTGGTAATCCTTATCATCTCGAACTGAGACAAGAACTTTATCCAATGTTGGAAATTCTTGTCTAAAGATGAATTCATGCACTTTCCGTCGAAGTCCTTCTTTAAAATGATATTCTATTTGAAATTTTGGTTTCCCTGGAGCATTACGTGGCATTTAAAAACTACCACATTTCTCTCTTTAATAGCTCTGTAAATCGTAGATTTCCTAACAACAAGTGTACTGCTAACTAACTCAACGGTCTCATCAACACTTTCACATAAACGTTTGTTGTTAATGATTTAAAACAATTAAATATTAATGTTTTTTCATTAACTGTTAAAGGACCAATTTTTCGGCGTTTACACGGCACTTCCAAATTTTCCATAACACTAGTATACACAATAAACTGCACTTGCAACTGAAGTGCCTAATTTTAGTGTACTGTTTGTTAAGAATTTTGAATACGCACTTGGACCTTCCTACAAAATGGAAAAACCCACTATCACATTTTCTGTGGAATAAGTTTAGAAGGTAATTATCTAGTCAATTACTGTCGTAGATTCCTGGAATTAAAGAATTAAATGTTTGATTGTTGAAACCCTTACTTCGTGGAATGCACTCATTTCAGATAAAATAAAACGTTTTATTTTATCTAAAGAATTAAACTTTATTTTGCAAATAGGTAGGTACTTATTAAACTTTATTGGTTATATATAACCAATAAAATAAACGTCTTACATTTCTTGCAAATTCATTAGTACTGTTAACCTCCATCACTCCGACACTGGCAACCTTATTTAGGGATTAGTAACCTCACAACTATTGTATTCTATTCTGCTCCAACCTTTATACCTGGTGGTCATACTCAATTTAAAATTGTTTTCCTATATACTTCTGTAAACTTGTTTGACAATATCTGTTTTTCATTGAGTCACCCGTATCAACAGTTTAGGGATTTGCATACATAATTTATTGTTTTATTACTCTCTCATACATAAAAATACACCATAGTGTTATAATTTCATTCAGTTTATTTGTTATCACTTTGGCTGTTAATTTTAGTATGTGTTTAATAAAATAATTCCTCTGTAATTTTCCGGGCCCGATTTGTCTCCCTTTTGAAGAGAGGTATTAGGATGTTTGATCCCCATTCTTGAGGAATTCTGTTTTGTTCTATTATTTTTTGGATTAGTTTTAAGTAGGTGTTTGGCCAGATTGGTCTTCCGTACTTTAGGAGTTTGTTCGGTATTATGGTGTCTCCTAGTGATTTTCTATTTTTTAATTTCCTTAATGCTTTCTTTACCTCTTCCTCCTCAATACTTATTTCTTCGTTTATCTTCACCTCTGGGGTTGGTGGTTCATTATCATCACATTTAGCAAATAGACATCGAAAGTAGTCTACCCATGTTTCCTTCTGAATGTATTTCGTTTTTATTAGTTCGTTCATCTCTTTTCTTTGTCTTCTAATCATTCTTTATATTTCTTTTTGTGTTTCATAGAAGTCGTGTTCCTTCTGTTTTGAGAAACTCTGCCAGTGTACTTTTTTTATTTGTCTAACTAAAGTAATCGTTTCATTTCTGATTCGTTTATAGTGGTTGTATGCCTGTTGTGTTTATTGTGTTCAGTATTGTAAAAAGGCTTTACGGGTGTTATCTTTCTCCACGGGTGTTATTAAATGTATATTTATGTTGATCTTTGTGGTCAAAAAATGTGTTGATTATTCTTAGTTCGTTATTCGTGCAAAAGTTGATCATAAGTTCTCCCATTTTCGTTTTTAACATTCTCGTTATGGTTTTGCTTTAATGCTGGGAATTACTTGATTGCCTATTCGAGCGTTAAAATTCCCCAATATTATCATCTTCCCTCTGACTTGATATACTACTTGTTGTAATTGGTCATAAAATGCTTCCTTTCTTGTTTGAGGCTTGTTATTTTCTGGACTGTATACTCTAATGATGTTCAGGTCTTCCTTCTTCATTGGTATCTTTGCTTTTACTATTCTTTCTTATATGTATTGACACTACAACTGCTGGGGCTAGCAACCTACCAATCGTAAAAACAAATACTGCTTAAAGAAATAATTTACTGACCTTGAAAAAAGTTGAGACCCAGTCAAGTTATCGATAGTACCTACCACCGTCTTCATCCCCAGAATTCTCGTCAGTCTGATCGGCTGCATCTGGAGGTTCTATGAAAATTTCCTCTATGTCATTAACAAATGCCATGTCAAGGGACTCTTGTAAAGTAAATCCTCGCAATATAAAAAGTAAAGCTTTAGATTGATTTAAAAGTATGAGATTGTTTCTAAATTACATGAATATATGACTAAATTACTAACCAAATCTAAAAAAATTGTTATAGTAATTATTCTAGATACAATTTTAATGTACTTACTCGAATTGAATAACAGGTTCCATTTTGTAAAAAAGAATATTATAAACTTGACACCTTGTTAGCAACTTGTGGGGGCAGTGAACAGTAATGTCTGCCGTGTGAACCGTGCCGCCATCTGTCCGTTAGTTAGTACTTACAAAATAAAATGTACAATGAATAAATTAAATCTTACCCTGCATTACATATACGTATGTATGTAGCTCTAGGTACTAATGGGTTAAGATATTTTTGGTCCATCTAGTATCTTTCACTCTAGCGATGTATCCTACCCACTTCCATTTAATTTTCAAATTCCGTTTCTTACCCTATCTTAATCTTTATGCCCAACAATGATCTTTATTTATTCATAATTAACGTGCAGATGCCCTTGTAAGAGTAAGTGTCTCTGCGCCATACGACGATTAAAGGCTCTTCTTTTTAATCTGATAGGTCTTCTTCTTAGTCGT